TATGCGTAGCCTCAATCAATTCTTCTTGAGACCTTAACTAGGTATTATAGTTAAAAAAAAAAAAAAAACTAGGTATTATAAGAAAATTTCGTAAATTAATATTCTTCTAATTTTATGTGTGCTAAGTGAGACTCCTATGGGACGATATGATTATGTAAATTGAAATTAAATCAGTGACATGATTCTTGAAAGTAACTCGAAACCAAACCCACACGAGCATGGCTACAAATATGTAAACTATGTCCATCCTCATAATCATTGGTGGCATGTTTTTTCCTTCAAGCTAGTGATGTAAGAGACCATATCGTTGACAAAAAAACAATGAAAAAGAAAGAAAGAGAAAAAATCTAAGCATGGGAAAAAATGATTACGTGCATTATGCAACATGTGCAAAATCTAATGTTGTGTTGCAAGTAATTAATAATGGTTAAGAAGTATAATGAGTTATCTAGAAAGTGGATAATACATGTGCAAAATAATGGTTAAGAAGTATAATGAGTTTTTTTTTTGTTTGTTATAAGCAAAATCTAATGTTGCAAGTAATAATGGTTAAGAATCAAGAGTCGGGTCATTCGAACTATCGACAAGCAATCGAACTATCAACAGGCATGAAAGATATAGCCTATCTTCGATCAAAACCATAGGAGATCACAAGTTGGGTGGGAGTTTAGATTGCTAGTTTACCTCAAGTCTTTCTTTCTTTACACTTTTTCAGATTCTGTTTTAGTTTCATATTCATCAGAAACCTCAAACTCATTAAGAATTTGTTTAATTTTGCGTTTAAATAAATTTTACATGCAATTGAAAAAACAATAGTTAAGAAACGTGTAAGCATATATTATGGTTAAGAAATTTCTTATGAGATTGGTATTGAATTAATGGATATCATCATGCCAATGATCGATGTCCTACAAAATATATATTTCACTATATATGGTTCAATTGTTTAATCGGACTGACGAATATAGTGATTAGTTTGATTTTTAATCCAAGATTGATTTAGATTTAGTGAAAATTTACAATAAAGAGTGTTCCACAATCGAGCTTACAATATGAGGCTTATAACTTTTCTTTTTTCGTAACAATTCGTTTGAATCAATTAAAACCTTAGCTTAATATTGGAGCTCGAGCTGCCACGTAAATTTATAATGTTGACGTTTGGGCATGCATGCAAAGAATTCTATCACCGATTTTGACGAGAAAACACATTTGATTTTGTTTTGTTCATTAATCGTATATTATACGTTGTATTTCATTAAAAGGTGTTTACATTCATATAAACACGATTGTAAGTAGTGATTTAACGTACTATCTTCAACAACAGTCAAGCCTAATTAAGTACCAACATATAGATCAATTATCAATAGATGATCTATAATTGGTTGGACGGTAATGTTTTGAAACTTGCAGAAATTGCAAAAATGCCATTTTTATGTGCATATTTGCAAAAATGTCACTTAAGAGTGTTCATTTGCAAAAATGCCACTAATTATTGATTTTTAAACTATATATCTTAAAATTCTAAACACTAAAAAATGTTTTGACCCCTAAATCCCCCTAAACCCTCGTAACTAAACCCTAATAGAACATAATTAACCCAAACATAAATAATATAAAGAAAAAATAATTTTTAAAAATGGTATTTTTGTAAAAAATTCAAAAATGCGGTATTTTTGTAAAATAACACTTGAAAAGTAGCATTTTTTTAAATTTCTCTTGAAACTTCTAAGGACCTTAGAGCATAATCAACCATGGGTGTTAGTAAATTTTTTAATGGATTGCTAATGAATTTAATACAATTAAATAATTCTAGCACCCATTAGCAACCCATTTTTTAGGTTGTAAAAATGTTAAAATTAGCAACTTTAAGTTGAGTTGCTAAGATTATTTATTATTTTTAATCCATTAGCAACCCTTTCAAAAATTTACTAACACTTATTGTTCATTATGCTCTTATAAGAAAAAATCAATGCACATGCATACTTTTCTGTTTCGAGCTTAAATTTTAGTCAAAAACTCCTAATCTATTGTTCAACCACTTGATAAAAACGTCAAATATATAAGTTTTCATAAAGAAAGTGAGTGTATACAAAACAAAGTATATTATCGAAATATGATTTACAAAAGCAGTCAATGGAGAAAAAGTTGTCAGCATTATTGCAAGACAATATTGGAAGTAACGCTCATGCTCATGTTTGGTAACTCTTCTTGTTCCTTTTATTTGTTTTTATGTTTTTTAGAAGAAAACGGTTGCCCAAGTTGCTTTTTAAATATTTATTTACATGTATTTATCCGTTCTCGTGAAACCCACTTGACATGGAACCTAAATAAATCTTTAACACACTCATTTGACATGAAACTTCTTAACTAATCACACTATCCATGTGAGAGAAAAGAGTATCTTTGTAGACTTTTTCGGATTTAATGTTAAGAAGTACTATTATCATTTGTAGACTTATGATATTAATCTTAGCATGTAGATTAACAAAAGTTAAAAAATGGCCGATCTACAAAAAATGAACGTCTTGCTCCAACCACACAAAAAAATAAATATTTCTTTTTCAAAAAAAAAAAAAATATATTTCTAAAAAGTTACACAAAATAAAAATTTCAAGTGCAAAACCACATAAAATTTAAGAATCGATCGAAAAATATTTAAAGTTTTAAAATTCATTTTTTTAGTTAAGTATAGTACTATTTGAGGTTCAGTATGGAAAATATACATATATGTGTAGAATGTATGTATAAGTGATGCATGATGACATGGCAAATATAGACAAATCTATGGCTGAAACTCTGGAAGAGAGTCACAACTCACAAGGGAAGTCAAGCAACTGTCGAGAGAAGACATGACAAATAGGGTAACTGAAATTAACCAACCCTACA